AGTTACTGCCAGTCAGTGCTGACCCTACTGGGCTAGACGGACCACTGGCCGGATGCAATGAAAGGCTGGGTGTCCTTTCTCTCCCAGGTGCCTGGCGTCTCTGTGAAGTGTGTGGCCGGGGGCAGGGCTGTCTCCCAGACCCCTTAAGGAGGGCAAGGAGACCCTCCTCAAGAACATCAGAGCCCCTTTCTCAGGGTCCTCTGGTGTGAGGCAGGAGGGCCAAGTTGGCCCCTCGACCATGCATGGCCCTGGCACAGAAATGTGTGGGTACTGGGTCCCTGGATAGGGAATTTTGTGGGCGCGTTTGCCCCTATGGTGTGAGGGGAGAGCCTTCTCCCAAGCACCTGGGTGACCGCAAAGGTGTGCCAGGACGCCTGGGTCCCAAAGAGCTGAGGGGACGGGGGTGCCTCTCCCTCTCTCGGACGCCTGGGTCCCCAGGAGCTGAGGGGGTGGGCGTGCCTCTCCCTCTCTCGGACGCCTGGGTCCCCAGGAGCTGAGGGGGTGGGCGTGCCTCTCCATCTCTCGGACGCCTGGGTCCCTTGGAGCTGAGGGGACGGGGGTGCCTCTCCCTCTCTCGGACGCCTGGGTCCCCAGGAGCTGAGGGGGTGGGCGTGCCTCTCCCTCTCTCGGACGCCTGGGTCCCCAGGAGCTGAGGGGGTGGGCGTGCCTCTCCATCTCTCGGACGCCTGGGTCCCTTGGAGCTGAGGGGACGGGGGTGCCTCTCCCTCTCTCGGACACCTGGGTCCCCAGGAGCTGAGGGGGTGGGCATGCCTCTCCCTCTCTCGGACGCCTGGGTCCCCAGGAGCTGAGGGGGTGGGCGTGCCTCTCCATCTCTCGGACGCCTGGGTCCCTTGGAGCTGAGGGGACGGGGGTGCCTCTTCCTCTCTCGGACGCCTGGGTCCCCAGGAGCTGAGGAGACGGGCGTGCCTCTCCCTCTCTCGGACGCCTGGGTCCCCAGGAGCTGAGGGGGTGGGCGTGCCTCTCCCTTTCTCGGACGCCTGGGTCCCCAGGAGCTGAGGGGGTGGGCGTGCCTCTCCCTTTCTCGGACGCCTGGGTCCCCAGGAGCTGAGGGGGTGGGCGTGCCTCTCCCTCTCTCGGACGCCTGGGTCCCCAGGAGCTGAGGGGGTGGGCGTGCCTCTCCCTTTCTCGGACGCCTGGGTCCCCAGGAGCTGAGGGGGTGGGCGTGCCTCTTCCTCTCTCGGACGCCTGGGTCCCCAGGAGCTGAGGGGGTGGGCGTGCCTCTCCCTCTCTCGGACGCCTGGGTCCCCAGGAGCTGAGGGGGGGCGTGCCTCTCCCTCTCTCGGACGCCTGGGTCCCCAGGAGCTGAGGGGGTGGGCGTGCCTCTCCCTTTCTCGGACGCCTGGGTCCCCAGGAGCTGAGGGGGTGGGCGTGCCTCTCCCTTTCTCGGACGCCTGGGTCCCCAGGAGCTGAGGGGGTGGGCGTGCCTCTTCCTCTCTCGGACGCCTGGGTCCCCAGGAGCTGAGGGGGTGGGCGTGCCTCTCCCTCTCTCGGACGCCTGGGTCCCCAGGAGCTGAGGGGGGGCGTGCCTCTCCCTCTCTCGGACGCCTGGGTCCCCAGGAGCTGAGGGGGTGGGCGTGCCTCTCCCTTTCTCGGACGCCTGGGTCCCCAGGAGCTGAGGGGGTGGGCGTGCCTCTCCCTTTCTCGGACGCCTGGGTCCCCAGGAGCTGAGGGGGTGGGCGTGCCTCTTCCTCTCTCGGACGCCTGGGTCCCCAGGAGCTGAGGGGTGGGCGTGCCTCTCCCTCTCTCGGACGCCTGGGTCCCCAGGAGCTGAGGGGGGGCGTGCCTCTCCCTCTCTCGGACGCCTGGGTCCCCAGGAGCTGAGGGGGTGGGCGTGCCTCTCCCTTTCTCGGACGCCTGGGTCCCCAGGAGCTGAGGGGGTGGGCGTGCCTCTCCCTTTCTCGGACGCCTGGGTCCCCAGGAGCTGAGGGGGTGGGCGTGCCTCTCCCTTTCTCGGACGCCTGGGTCCCCAGGAGCTGAGGGGGTGGGCGTGCCTCTCCCTTTCTCGGACGCCTGGGTCCCCAGGAGCTGAGGGGGTGGGCGTGCCTCTCCATCTCTCGGACGCCTGGGTCCCTTGGAGCTGAGGGGATGGGGTGCCTCTCCCTCTCTCGGACGCCTGGGTCCCCCCAACGAGCTGAGGGGGCGTGCGTGCCTCTTCCTCTCTCGGACGCCTGGGTCCCCCAGGAGCTGAGGGGATGGGGTGCCTCTCCCTCTCTCGGACGCCTGGGTCCCCCAACGAGCTGAGGGGCGTGCGTGCCTCTTCCTCTCTCGGACGCCTGGGTCCCCCAGGAGCTGAGGGATGGGGGTGCCTCTCCCTCTCTCGACGCCTGGGTCCCAAGGAGCTGAGGGTCCTCTCTCGGACGCCTGGGTCCCCCCAGGAGCTGAGGGGGTGGGCGTGGCCTCTCCCTCTCTCGGACGCCTGGGTCCCTTCCCCTCGAGGTCTCTCTCTCCTTGCGCGGGGGAGGCCGGCGGGCCCTTCTTCCTCCTCCCCTTCCTTCCTCTCTCTCTCTCTCTCTCGGGGTCTCGTACCCGAAGTCCTGGTCCATGCTCTTGAAGAAGTACTTGGCTCCCGGCCGGGCGAGGGCCGCCTTGACGTGGCCCAGGGTGATGCGCTCGGCCGGGACGGGGATCTTGACCAGGTAGGGCGTCTCCTCCTCGTCCAGGTGGTAAATCACCTTCGTCTCCCCCGCCGCCGGCCCCGAAGCCGCCCCCGGCATCGCCGCCGCCCCGCCGCCGCCGCCGCCACAGCCAGGCCCGGGGCCCGCCGCCAGCGCCATGGCAACCGCGCGCCCGCCCGCCCCGCCCACCAATCAGCTCCCGCGCGCCGCCAGACGGGCAGAAAACGGCCGACGTGGGAGGAGGCGGGGAGAGAACGTTCGGAGGGGCGGGGGGGGGGTCAGAGGGCAGGCGGGGAGCGCGGCGCCAGACTCCCCTCGCGCAGCGGCAGCGTTGCCCGGCGCGTCCCTACGTCATCACGTTTCGCTCCCCCGTCGTCGTCGTCCTCCTCCCACTAAGGCATAAACAGACGTGAGGGGAAGGCGTCGCCGCCGTCGCGCCACGTGACACGGGGCGGTCCCTTCTTTCCCCCCCCCGCCCCTGCCCTTCATTGGGCCAACCGCGGGAGGAAGGGGTCACGTGCGCGAGAGCCCCGGTCACGTGGGCCTGGCGCCCACGCAATGACGCGGCACGCCGCGGGGCAGGAGGGGAGGCGGAAGTGCGTGACGCACCGGAAGGGGAGGGAGGAAGGAAAGGGGGGGAAAGACATTCCCCGTCTTTGTCCTCCGGCAGGAACAGCCTCCTGTCACGTGAGCGCGGGACTGACGGCTCCCTGGGGAGGGGAGGGCCTCTGGCGGGGTCAGGAACTCTGCACATGCTCAGGAGCCGCGCCGAAATAATGCTCAGAGGCTTTTCCTTTCGAAGACTGAGGGGTGACAGAGTTGCTCCGCCTGGTCTTTGGCTTGGAGCCCATTTGATTCCCCATCTTTCTTTTCCTTTCTCCTCCTGCGATGAGGCTACATTTTAATATTTTAATGTTTCGATATTTTAATGTTGTATTTTAATTTTGTTTTTAAGTTGTATTCATTCAACTTGTTTTTATTATTGCTTGTTAGCCGCCTGAGCCCAGCCCTGGCTGGGGAGGGCGGGGGTATAAATAAATATTATTATTAATAATATAAGGGGCCTGGGAGCCAGTATAGGCCAAGGCCGTGACCTGACCTCCAGCTGCTCAGCAAGCAATTTCTTGGCCACAGCAGAAAGTCCACAGATCCACACAAACATTGGACCCTGCAAAAGTTCTTTTGCACAAGGAACAATGGCCAGTGTGGTGGTGTGGTTAAGAGCGGTGGACTCGTAATCTGGGGAACTGGGTTCGCTTCCCGGCTCCTCCACATGCAGCTGCTGGGTGACCTTGGGCCAGTCACACTTCTCTGAAGTCTCTCAGCCCCACTCACCTCACAGAGTGTTTGTTGTGGGGGAGGAAGGGAAAGGAGAATGTTAGCCGCTTTGAGACTCCTTAGGGTAGTGATAAAGCGGGATATCAAATCCAAACTCTTATTCCTCTTCCTGCTAAATGCCAGAGAAACAATAAGAGACTCTCCACTCCTCTCCCAGGAGAGAGGATTCCCTTCACCTGCCACGGATAAGACCACCCACGCCTGCTTTGCAGGGGCACTTAAAGGTAAAGGGACCCCTGACCATTAGGTCCCGTCGCAGACGACTCTGGGGTTGCAGCGCTCATCTCGCTTTATTGGCCAAGGGAGCCGGCGTACAGCTTCCGGGTCATGTGGCCAGCATGACTAAGCCGCTTCTGGCGAACCAGAGCAGCGCACGGAAACACTGTTTACCTTCCCGCCGGAGGGGTACCTATTTATCCACTTGCACTTGGACGTGCTTTTGAACTGCTAGGTTGGCAGGAGCAGGGACCGAGCAACGGGAGCTCACCCCGTCGCAGGGATTCGAACCACTGACCTTCCGATCGGCAAATCCTAGGCTCTGTGGGTTAACCCACAGCGCCACCCATGCCAGCAGGGGCACTTAGGAACACGCAAAGCTGCCTTTCACAGCAGCAAGGCAGTTAACTCAGGACTGTCTACACAGAGACTGGCAGTGGATCTGCCGGGCTTCCAAACAGGGCATATGCCCAGACCTACCTGGATCTGCCAGAAATTGGGCCTGAGCCCTTTTAAATGCAAAGCGGGCGCTCTGCCACTAGAATACTGGCATGGTCACACATCTAGAATGGTCACAGCCCACTGCACAGAAGTGGGTGCATGCTGTGTGCACGGCTCCACCTGTACATGTTGTGTGCATGGCCATGGCACAAGACACTCGGAGCATTGGCCAGCATCAAATGTGGCCGATGGGCCAGGAAGGTTCAACCACATTCAGAGCATTGACCAGCTACACCAATCTGCCCCCCTCCCCAAAGCACTGCCTTTGTTTTATAAGGAAGGAACATTAATGATGATCGCAGCCTTCTGTACAAACGCAAAAGGGTCCACATCTTTTATTTACATTCAAAAACTCTGCCATGTACACAGTTTCAAATATTATAACGAAAAAGGGTGGGAGCTGGAGGGGGGGACCCAACCAGAAACCCCCACTGATCAGAACAGCTAACCTGAAATGGGGAGCAGGTAAAATATGGGGTTTTGCAGCAGAACAGGAGTTATGAGAGAACTGGGAATCCTGGCATGGGGAGTTTCTGATGTGTTTCTTAAAAAATAAGTGGGCTTGCCATTCTTCATCAAACCCAAACTCTTTTGTCTCGCTCTCTGGAACCTCTGCCTCATCCTTATGCTCAATGGGAGCAGTCAGAAAACACAAATAAGTCGTCCCTTTTTATTTTGAAGCCAGCAAAATCGCAAGGGTTTCCCTGACAAAGTTCACCCCCTCACAATCCCTGGGGGATGTTAATACTGGGGAGGGGGAGTAAACAAAACCCTTCTATTCTCTCTCTCAGAATTTAAAATATATATATATTATTCAGTTTCAACGGGGACAAAATCTCCGGGCCCCTCCAAAGGGAAAAAAAAAAAACCCCTGTAAAGGTTTACTTAAAAAAAAAATTTGCTTTTTTTATCCAGCCTCCTTTCTTGGGCTGTATCCCTCAGTTGGCATCAAACTCTGAATCTGGAGGCATTAAAACAAATGCCAGAGAACATTTTTTTAAAAAGGAAAATAAAGAAGAGTCTTCCAACTGGGGGTGTGATGGGAGGGAGAAAATAAACGAAGCCAGAAAAAAAAACCCTTTTGCATTCAGTCTATTTACAGGTGAACTTTACTGGGGCAGGGGAGGATAGGTGGTGGGGGAAAGAGCTAAAACAAAAACGAAGAGGTGCTTCTACCCCACTTCCTAGTGCCCTCTCTCTGCCTCTCCCCCAACGCTATGTGCATCCCAGCAAGTGAAAACAGGAACCTTCCTGGTTTTCAGTTTCGTCATTCCGGCCCACCGGTGTCAGCCTCCGAATGCCATTCTCCTTCGCAGAGAACATGGAGGTGGGCCGGGATCAACCCCCAAAGGGCGAGTGGGTCTGAAGCGAGAGGCCTGCAATTGCCAGCCAGAATCTGCCTGGAGGGGCAGCCTCTCTGCCTCCCGGGTGCTGGGACTACCACCACCGCAAATACCCCAAGCACCTCCGTCTTCTGCCTCCAAGGAACTGAGGCTCCTTTTGGATACCAGTCCAGAGCAGGCTCCCGACCCTGTCCAGTCTTTTCTGCCCCTCTGGGATGGAAGCCCAGCGCAGAGCCGCCTGTCCTCCCCTCCTGAGCTAGGGCTCCCCACCTCCCCTGGACGCAACGGCGACGGTTGCGCTGGGAACCGCCGGGGGCGGCAGCAGCGGCAGCTTGCGAGAACCTTCCTTGCACTTCTGACAGTAGAAGATGTCGGGGACGTTGGTCTTCTTGATCTTGGCGCAAGAGAGGTGGATCCAGGTGCCGCACTGATTGCACTCGATCATGGGGCGGCCCGCAAATGGCTTCTGGCAGTAGCAAGTGATGAGGTCCCAAGAGTCATCCCCTGGAGGAACAGAGGAACAAATTTCAGAAATTTCGCTCACCCACAATCGCACAACACACGTTTGGTTATCTGGCTTGAAATGTAACACCACGGGAACCTCAAGTTTTGTTTTTAAGTTTCTAGTCCATAAGACAACAACAATAATAATAATATGCTTGAGGATATGCAGGCAGTGTGTGATGAAAACAGAATCAAAGGCTGAACGGGTGGTAAATGCTGATTCGTGCATTTACACCCTGCCTAGAAGTGGACTAAAACCATGACCAAAAAGATAAAATATGGAAGACAAATTACCTGCCTAAGTCAGGATAGGTGCATACCAAGTACCCACTCCACCCTCACAGAGCTGAAAGCATCAGAGATGTTTGCTATAATATGAGGGATGGGGAAATCCCAGATTAGGACAGCCAGCAACCGCATTTATTACCTATGTGCAAGATCTGAACCTGAGCCTGGGAAACACCCTGCTCCCATTGGCCCAAACCAGTCCGCTCACCCCACTCAGTTAGGAAAGGGCATGCACAGAGACCTGCTGCCTCGCTGCTCAACTGCACATTGCAGCCTTCCCAAGCAGATGTTTTGACCTACACCTCTCACTGGCCTGTGCGGGAGCTGTAGTTCATTAAATTCCTGAGCACCTCTTCATTGGAAAGACTCCAAGGCACCTCACAGCAGCTTAAAATAGATTAAAAGACAGGGGCGCAAAATAATGAGCATCCCAGCGAGGCGGAACCTCAGAGATGCTTAACAAAACCAAGGCCAGGGTTGTATCCCCGGGGATTTTGGAGAAAGCCAAAACAACGTCAATGCTTGCTAACGTGCTGGCGAGAAATGCTGGAAGGGGTGGACCTTGAACTGATCCACCAAGGCCCTCCCTGGTGTAGTTCAACTACAGCTCCCACAGGTCGGTCATTTGTTCCTCTCTTAATCTTCCAGAGATCTCACTGCTTTGTGAGGTCAACACACCCCGGGGAATCAGGAAGGTTCTCTGGGGCGGCGGGTGTTCCAACGAATGTGAGAAGCGAAGCACAATCCAGCTGCAACTCTCGCTTGACTTCTTAAAAAGCTTTTGCTAAATTAAAGCAAGCACTATTACACTCCGGGCCCCACTTTTTTGGGGGGGGGAAATGTGTGCGGAGATGGGGAGAAGAGCCTGATATGATGCAGTTAAACAAAAAGAAAAAAAAGCACCCCACTCCTTTGAAAATTTAAGGGGCTTTTTATGTAAAGCAAATAAAGGTAAAGGTAAAGGTACCCCTGCCCGTACGGGCCAGTCTTGCCAGACTCTGGGGTTGTGCGCCCATCTCACTCAAGAGGCCGGGGGCCAGCGCTGTCCGGAGACACTTCCGGGTCACGTGGCCAGTGTGACATCGCTGCTCTTGCGAGCCAGCGCAGCACACGGAAACGCCGTTTACCTTCCCGCTAGTAAGCGGTCCCTATTTATCTACTTGCACCCGGGGGTGCTTTCGAACTGCTAGGTTGGCAGGCGCTGGGACCGAGCAACGGGAGCGCACCCCGCCGTGGGGATTCGAACCGCCGACCTTTCGATCGGCAAGCCCTAGGCGCTGAGGCTTTTACCCACAGCGCCACCTGCGTCCCTATGCAAAGCAAATACTTTAAATTAAAAAACAACAAGAAGCTGGAGGTGTTTGCTGACAGAGGACAAGCCTGCCACTGGCTATTGATCCCAGAGGTCAGCCTGGCGGAAACGTGAAAATCAGCTGGCCGTGTCACCAGGCGAAACTTCCAAGAACGCAGGGGGAAGCATTACCTGGCGACATACGTGGTGCAGAGGTTAGCGTGCTGGAAAAGGACCTGGGAGATCAGGGTTGAAATCTCAGCTTCACCTACCTCACAGGGCTGTGGGGATTACCAGGAGGTTGGGCAAACCATGAACCTTGAGGAACTTGGGAGAAAAAGTTGGGATATAAACGCAACTAATAATGTGCCCATTGCTTTAACGCCCATGTAACGCTGTGCATTAAGTTGCGTTGCCCGTGCCCCTTCCGGGACACCTCCGCCTCCTCACCTGATTCCACCATGATGTCCTCATCCATGACCCTCATCTCGCCTTCGCTGGAGCTGCCTTCCCCATCCTGGCTGGTCTCCGTACTGATCCCCCCTTTCCCTTCCGTGTCCTCAAGCTTAATGGGGAAGCTGGCAGCCAACAGCTCCGGCGGAGCCTGCACAGAGACCAGCGCGGCCGTGGCCGAACCCTCCTCCCCTCTGGGCCGCCGAGGCGCCACTGCCGCCCCCTCTTCCTCCTCAGAGTCCGTCTCGCTCAGGGAAGCCTTGTGCTTCTTCTCGCTCCGCTCGGCCTTTTTCAACTTCCGCTTCTTGCTCTTTTTGATGCGAGAGCGCTTCTCCCCCACTGGGTCGCCGCCGCCGCCCCGGTTCCGCTTGGCTCCTCCGCCCGCGTCCAGGACGGACTTCCGATTCCGCTTGTCCTTCTTCTTGTCCAGGGCCCCCTTCGGCCCTGCCAGCGGCGGCTGCTGCTGCTTGCCGACGGGGTCCAAGTCAAACAGGGAGTCCTTGAGCTTCATCTTCTCCAGCAGAGAGCTGTCAGACTTGAGGCGGCGGAAAGCCGCCTTCTTCTTTGAAGACTTGGCCTTCTTGACGAAGGTCTCGATCGTGTGCAGGTCCGAGTGCGTCGACTCCCAGCCGTCGCTGTCCACCACGCTCTCTGGGCGGATGGGGGAGTTCGAGCCGGAGGGCGTCCAGTCATTTTCCTGTGGGGTTTGGGGAGGGCAGAGGAAAGAGATTAATTCCTCAGGCTACTTTTCCTGGGTGCCCAGGACTCTCCTCCGCTTTTTCTTCCCAGAGGAGTGGGATTCAAAGGGGCAGTGGGGTTCCTGGGGGGAGATCTGAGAGGCAAGGGTTGTAGCAGGTGGTGTAAATAGAATTGCAGAATTGGAAGAGACCACACGAGTCATTTAGTCCTACTCTCTGCAATGCAGGAAAGACTTTGATAATGCATAATAACTACCAGGCTTTGAAAAGATGATATCAACTGATAGCTCCTTTGTGGTCCCTGTGGATAGCTCAGTCAGTAGAACATGAGACTAATAATAATAATAATTTATTTATATCACGCCCCCCCCCCAGCCGAAGCCAGGCTCAGGAAGCGGCTAACAACAGTAAAATGATACAACATTCTAAAATCATTTCAAATCAGATTAATGGCAACTATTGGGCTAGAGTTCCATGAGGAACTTAGGGCTGTGGGTTCGCACCCTGCAATGGGCAAAAGATTCCTGCATTTAAGGGGGCTGGACTAGATGACCCTCAGCTCTACAATTCTATGGTTCAATGGATCGAGTTCATCTGTTTTGCAGAATTAATTAAACTAAACAGCTTTAATTGGATTTTGAATAAACGTGCAATTAAGTGGCTACGGTTTTGAATTTTATTGCATTATTATCTTCCTCGGAGGGTCGTGCAAGCCATTATTCTGAACAATGCTTTTCGTACAGTATAAAAAGGAACTTCTGCGCTAACCTGTGTAGGAGCGTCTTAAACAACACAACGCAAAGAACGTCAGGTTTCCTAGGAAGCAGGGAGTACGCTAAGCTTCCCCGCCTCCCAAACATCTCCGCAACCAGCACTACATACAAACCACCAAATCCAGGGAGGGGCCACAGCCCAGGGTAGACCACTTGCTCTGCATGCAGAAGGTCCCTCTCTCTCTCCGAGAGTCTTCCTGCCTGAAACCCTGGAGAGCCACAGCTGGCCGCCAGTGTAGACAATACTGAACTGAACTGACCATTGACCTACACTCTGGGGGGCCTGAATCCTGAACTGCCATGGGGGCCCTTTGCAACCAGCAACAGGGTCTGGGTAACCACTGTTAGCTTCTTCAATGGGGCTGTTCCACAACAGATCAGCACACATTCGCAGCCTCTGGGCTACTGGCTGCCAAACGTTGGGATTGTGGAAATAGGTAAAGGCACCCCTGACCATTAGGTCCAGTTGTGGCCAACTCTGGGGTTGTGGCGCTCATCTCGCTTTATTGGCTGAGGGAGCCGGCGTACAGCTTCCGGGTCATGTGGCCAGCATGACTAAGCCGCTTCTGGAGAACCAGAGCAGTGCACGGAAATGCCATTTACCTTCCTGCCAGAGCGGTATCTATTTCTCTACTTGCACTTTGACATGCTTTCAAACTACTAGGTGGGCAGGAGCAGGGACCGAGCAACTGGAGCTCACCCCGTTGCGGGGATTCGAACTGCTGACCTTCTGATCGGCAAGTCCTAGGCTCTGCGGTTTAACCTACAGCGCCACCCGCGTCCCCGGAAATAGATCGAACAAAAATGTGGAAATAGATGCAACAAAAAAATTAATCCATTTGCGTCATGCGACTCAAACTGGGTCTACTAGACGTGAAACATCTAAGCAACGTGGACAAAAGTCGCTTCTGGGGCCCCTCTCTTCATCAGTTTTATTGCAGATCCGCCCCTGAGATGGACCAATGTTATAACTCGGGATAAAGGCAGCTTCCACGGTCCGCAGTGTTTCGTGGAGCTGTGGGCTGAAGCCAGGAGGTGCCACGTCCATCGCATTTAAATATTCATATTGATTTTTAACTCTCTTCTTAATGGCTTCTTTTATTTATAACATGTTTTATATTGCAGTTTGAATTCTAAAGAGCGCATTAAGATGCAGTACGTGAGAAACAGAAAGAAGCAGTAAAAATACGGTTGAAAAATCACGAGCGCTACAGCCGGCAGAAAAAATTAGTAAGCTCCTCAGTGGTCTGCGGGGAAAAGAAAAGTTTGGGAGTCCCTTGCCCTAGAAAATTTTCTAGCTGAAAGAAATGGAGGGAAAGCAACAGAAAGAGACAAGAAGGTGGCAGTGAGATAAATCAAAAGAGAGGGAACAAGAAAAATAAAGGTGTCTTGCAAAAAAAATGGGCAAGTGACTAAGCCTTTGTAAGCTGCTACTTGACTAGCTGGCGAAAGTTGAAAATAAACGATATTCATCTTTATTATAAAAAAAATTCCTTCCAGTAGCATCTTAGAGACCAACTAAGTTTGTTCTTGGTATGAGCTTTCATGTGCACGCACACTTCAGATACACTGAAACAGAAGTCACCAGACCCTTATATATAGTGAGAGGGTACATTTTTATTATGTGCACTTTTATCAACTTCCTTTTAAGCGACAGCAGAGCTCCTGGTTAGAATCCACATTCCCAGCAGCTCGAAAAATTTGTTCCCCTTGTGCAAAAAAGTGTCCTGTTGAGTATTAGAACAAACCCTGCCTACAGAGAGACTAACTGGTAGAAAGGGAATTTTAAAAATGGAGCACAGGGTACCCTGACAGCTGAAGCAGCAAATGTCTCGTGTTTGCAACCACTGAGCCTTTCAAGCAACACCCATATGCCAATGCCTAACTCCTAAAACAAGAGGTATGGTAGCCCATCTGATATGGAAGTTCGATAAATCCCTGGTGTGGGGGGACAGGCTGGGTTCACGAGGCTCGGGAGCCTTCTTTAGCCCTAAGCCCTTGTGAGCAGGTTCAAGCGGAGTCCCAGGAAGGGCAGGTCCGTAGCAGGAAAAGAGCAACTACAATTCCCAGCATGCACTTCGGGAAGCCTCCCGAGCCGTGCCGCATAACAAGCCAGGACATGTCCGCCCCCTCGCTTCCAGAACAGCAGCCTACACTTCCCAGCATGCAACACGCCCAGGCCTCCCAGCAAAATGGCCATGCCGCAGGGCATTCTGGGCCTCGTAGTTCCCGCGGGCATTTGCCGCAGCTTCCAAGGGGCTCTGGCAAGAAGACTGCGTGGAGACAATGCCGAGAGTGCAGGAGGCCAAGGGCTTAGGAGCGAAGGTTTGGAACAATCCCAAATGCACCTTTTTAGAACTTCACGGAGCCGGGTTTGGATTTAACAACAGATCACGGAGCTTGCTTCTGGGAAGGTGCTAGGACAACCCCTGTACCCCAACCCACACACCAGAAAAATATTAAACTGCATGCTTTGAAACTGAGCAGACGCATATTTGTTCACTTAATAAGCCAGTAGGATAAAAGGGGGAGATTGGGGGGGGCAGGATTCTCGCTGGGGGGGACCCCAAACTAACCTCCTTAGAGGAAGGGATGTAGCCAGCGTAGGCTAGGACGAAACTGCAGAACTTGTTGAAATCCTCAATAGTTCGCCTTCGCTTCTCCGGAGGCTGGTGAGACTGGGGGAGAGAGGCAGGAAGTGGGGAGGGGAGGTGTTAATGCAGACAGAGGTAGCCCCCCCTTCCCCCGGCCACCCACAAATCTCTAGGCTCCTTCACAACCGCATCACACATACCCCACAACGGGTGATAATAAGAAAAGGGGAGTTATTCCTAGAGAGAACTGAGCAGTAACATCCTGTTCCCGCCCCCCCCCAAGAAAAACCACAGGCTCCCACAGCTAGAAATGCAAGTCAGGTCTCTCCCAGGACATGCGAAGAGTGCAAAGGGTTAAATATGGGGGGGAGGGAGAGAGGGGGGGAAAGAGTCTTTTCCGTCACCCACAGAATATCCTTTGCTTGCTCTCTCTCTCTCTCTTTTTTTTGCTAAAGGCGGGGGGGGGGGGAGAGCACATGCAAAAAGGATGTTGCAACCTTTCGGAAAGACTTTTGGCCTCCTCAAGGGAGCAGGGATAAAAAGGCGGGGGGAGGAAGAGGAGGGGGTCCCCCAGAAGAACGGAGCCACCCCACGGAAACAAATGGGATTTTTTTATTGGGGCCCAAGTTTGAGGTAGGGGTTTTTTTGGGGGGGGCAGAGGGGGAATCAACCATCAAATAGAGGCTTTTCTATTTTGTGTTGTTGTTTTTACCTGTGTCTCCGGTTTGAGGTTTGGAGGCGGATCTGGAAAACAAGAACCGGGAAGGGGGTCAGTCGAGGGGGGTCCAGGAACGGAGACTTGCAACAACTCCACACCGACCAGCACAAAGCGAGGGGAAAATCCTACTTTCTCCCCAGGAATGAAGGCACAGGGATTCCCCCACCCGGAGGCAAGTCAAGGGAGATGGCTGGGGGGTGACAGAGAGCCCTGACAGAACCTCCCGGACCCCTTATTTTGGGGAGGGGGGGGCTTCCCTACAGCCTTCAGAGAAAAAGGCCAGGACACAGTGAAGCCCCCACCCCACCCCGCCTGCTTTGAACCCTTCCCCAAATTTCCACTCCAAAATATATTTAGGTTTATACCTCCTCCCCCCCCAAATAAAAATATACGCTCAAGACACGGAAGTGTCTATCCCCCCCCCATAACATCCAAGATCAGACCTAGACAGACAAGACACCCCGCCATTTCTACAGGGAAGCGGAAAGGGGGAAGCTGGAGCGCACCCCCCCCAGTCACACACACCCAGGACGCCTGTCTCCCCCTCCTGATCTGAGACCCCCCCAGGGCCCCCCAATTCCTTAATGCCCTCCAACAGACACCCCCCTTAAGAAGCCTCATTTCCTCATTGCTCTCCCCCCCCCCGCCGCCCCTCCTCCACGTGCCTCCCCTCCCCCTCCCAACTTTCTTCCTCGCTTCCCCCCCCCACTCCGGTTTTCTCCCCGGTCCGACTCCCTCCTCTTTCTCCCCCCCCCACACCCCCCACTTCCAACTCGCTCCCCTTTCACCTGGTTCTTCCCAGCCGCTCCCAAACACAACAGCCCCCCCCCCACTCCACGACGCTGCCTCCATCTTACCCACACACCCCAGCAAGGAAAAAAAGGGGTGCTGCTGCCCCCCCATAACCAACTCTCTTCCTCTCCTCTCCCCCCCCCTAAGTCTCCCCTCCCCACCGACCAGGCTCTCTCTGCTCTGACACCACCTGCCCCCCCCAAACCGGTGACCCCTTTCCACCGACGGACTTTGCTTCTTCTTTCCTCCCCCCCCCCCAAGCGCACACCCTCGCCCCCCACAACTCCAGAACAGCCCCCCCCCCCAAAAAAATCTCGCGGCCTCTTTTCCCTCCGAGGAGGGGCGTCCACTTTGCCCCCCCCCCACAAAACAAGCAATCTTCCTTCCCGCCCCCTTAGCTCCCCCCCCCACACACACACCCAACGCCAGCCCCCCAACCTCTCCTCGCCCCCTAATCTCCCGGGAGGGGCGTCCACTTTTCCTCTCCCCCCCAACAACAAACCCACTCCTCCTTCACCCCCCCCTCGCAACTCCAGCCCCCCACACGGTGGGTCTCCCCGAAATTCGCCTCCCCGGCCCTCCTTCTCCCCACACGAAGACGCTCCCAGCCCCACAACTGGGGGGGGGTCTCCGCAGCCTTTTCCCGCCCCCCCCCACCAAAATAAATAAATATTATTTTTCCTTGGGAGGGGCGCCCCCACAGAGCCTCGGCGCAAAAAAACCCCCACAGACTCGGCGTCCCCCCCCCCGCCGCCGCCGCCCCCCAAGTGTGGGTCTGCGAGGCCCCCTTTACCTTCAGGGCTGGGCTCCGCCATAGCCGGCCCCCTGCCCAGCCAGCCAGCCGGCCGCCTCTCCGCCCCGCCGGTGCCCGCGACGGCCGCGGGGCTCGGGAACCCGCCAGCGCCCCCCAAGCCGCCAAGACCCTCCCAGAGACCCGCCGCCGCCGCCGGGAGACCCTCCTCCTCCTCCTCCTCCTCCCTCCTCGCCCGCCGGTGCCGCCCGACTCCGCCGCTCCCTCCTCCCTCCCGGAGGAGCCCCACAGCCAGGCCCCGCCCCTCGCCGCCGCCGCCGCCCCAGAGCATCTCGGGAAACCGAGTCCCCCCGCGGAGAACTCCAAGTCCCGGCAGGCGCAGCGCGAGGGGAAGGAGGGAGAGGCGCCGGGTCCGCCTCTTCCTCTCACAGGCTCCAAAATGGAGGGAGAGGAGAGGAGCATGCTGGGAGGTGTGGTCTGGAATGGGTCGCCCTAGGAAAGGAGGGTTGGGAGAGGGAGTTTCCCATTTAAAGGAGGGAAATGGGGGGGGGCAATAGAAACCTGCGGGGGTTAGTTAAAGACACAGACACACACCCCAGGGGTTATTTATGGACAGGCTGGCTCTTTCCCCACTGGGCCCATCACCTCCTGGCAAATAGAAGGGGGGGAAATGGAGGCAATGAGAGATTTTACTTTCTTGGGCTCCATGATCACTGCAGATGGTGACAGCAGCCACGAAATTAAAAGACGCCTGTTTCTTGGGAGAAAAGCAATGACAAACCTAGACAGCATCTTGAAAAGCAGAGACACCACCGTGCCAACAAAGGTCCGTATAGTTAAAGCTGTATGGCCTTAAACGATTGGTTCAAAATTGGGAAAGGAGTACGACCAGGGTATACCGTATATTGTCTCCCTGCTTACTTATATGCAGAATTCATAATGGGAAAGGCTGGGCTGGATGAATCCCAAACTGGAATTAAGATTGCTGGAAGAAATATCAACAACCTCAGATATGCAGATGAGACAACCTTGATGGCAGAAAGTGAGGAGGAATTAAAGAACCTTTGAATGAGGGTGAAAGAGGAGAGCGCAAAATATGGTCTGAAGCTCAACATTAAAAAAACGAAGATCATGGCCACTGGTCCCATCACCTCCTGGCAAATAGAAGGGGAAGAAATGGAGGCAGTGAGAGATTTTACTTTCTTGGGCTCCATGATCACTGCAGATGGTGACAGCCGCCACAAAATTAAAAGACGCCTGCTTCTTGGGAGAAAAGCAATGGCAAACCTAGACAGCATCTTAAAAAGCAGAGACATCACCTTGCCAACAAAGGTCTATATAGTAAAAGCTGTTGTTTTCCCAGTAGTGATGTATGGAAGTGAGAGCTGGACCATCAAGAAGGCTGATCGCCGAAGAATGGATGCTTTTGAATTATGGTGCTGGAGGAGACTCTTGACGGTCCCATGGACTGCAAGAAGATCCAACCTCTCCATCCTGAAGGAAATCAGCCCTGAGTGCTCACTGGAAGGACAGATCCTGAAGCTGAGGCTCCAAGACTTTGGCCCCCTCATGAGAAGAGAAGACTCCCTGGAAAAGACCCTGATGTTGGGAAAGATGGAGGGCACAAGGAGAAGGGGACGACAGAGGACGAGATGGTTGGGTGGTGTTCTTGAAGCTACCAGCATGAATTTGACCAAACTGTGGGAGGCAGTGGAAGACAGGAGGGCCTGGCGTGCTCTGGTCCAGGGGGTCACGAAGAGTCGGACACGACCAAACAACATCTCTTTCCCCATTGGATGGGAAAGGACCCTATTTTTGGGTTCAAAAGCAAATGGGTTCTTGATTGACAGTCTGCAATGCCCACCCCCTTTTAGGGTAGGAAAGGACCCTGGGAGATGATGATGATGATGATTTATACCCCGCCCATCTGGCTGAGTTTCCCCAGCCACTCTGGGTGGCTCCCAATCGAGTGTTAAAAACAATACAGCAAGTTCACCTTGGTTCCACTGTAAATCCGTTCCGGAAGTCCATTCCAAAACCAAAGCGTTCCAAAACCAAGGCGCGCTTTCCCATAGCAAGCAATGCAAAACTGATTAATCCTTTCCAGGCTTTGAATAACAATCCCCAAAACAGCAATTTAGCATGCATTTTACGATCTAACGAGACAATGGATCCGTAAAACAAAAGCAATAAACAATGTGCTGCAGTCACACAATCATTCAGCAGCTGAACTAGATTCCACACAGTCACACACACACACAAAAAGCCACAAAAACGGAAAATAAATAGCAAAAACATGACAGAGCTCAGCGTAACGCTCCAAACAGAAGTGTGCCACTCAAATTGGAAGTGTAACACTCAAAACGGAACACGTTCGACTTCTGGAAAAAGTTTGCACAGTGGTACACTTGCTTCTGGGTTTGCAGTGTTTGGGTTCCAAGTTGTTTTGAGTACCAAGGCATATGAGAACCAAGGTACCACTGTATTCTTTTTCTTTATTTGTTACATTGACATCTCACCTTTCCCCCCAGTCCTCCAAGGTCAACATATAGCACATGGTTCAAGCACACACAGCTCATTCAATCGTCACAACAACCACCCTGTGAGGTAGGGCAGGCTGAGAGAGGCATCAGCTGCTCCACCTACCCACCCAGATCACCAGTCTTTCCCCAGGGCCTGATCCAACAACCATTACACCAGGGATTGGCCACTGTGAGAAAAGGATGTTGGGCCACTGGCTTGATCCAGAAGGCTTCTCTTATGCAGATAAGATACAGTCAAATCTGAATGGTAAAGGGAAGATTTCTGGTTGCTTTTGCCACCCCCCACCCCCCCGGGCTGGGCCTTAAAACCTACACACCTGAACTGTTACTAGATTACTTCTCTCCTTCCTTTCAACTGTCCTGGAATTGCGGCAATTAAAATGTTAAAAGTCAAATAAACCTTGGGGATGGAGGAGTGTTAAGGTATATAAAATTGTACATATGGTTGATTTGAATATGTTATTATTGATTATGTACACCCAATGTATCAGCCATCTGGGGGTTTCACTGTTTGTGGTTTGGTTGATGGTAAACAAATATTTTTTTAATAATAATAATAAACAACTGTTGAGTGTGTTCCATTTGTAAATTGAGTCCTCCGCTGCGATGGGAAAGCACCCCTTGGTTTAAGAACGCTTTGGTTTAGGAACGGACTTCTGGAACAGATTAAGTTCCTAAATCAAGGTACCGCTGTAACAATATAATAGGTCTGCGTGCAGAATGGCTGAGCTGAAATGGAAAAGCCCACCTCTGTAATAAGGGCACAGAGGTGGAAAGTATATGGCCCAAGGTCTAAGAATTCACTTCTTGGCAAGTGATCAAACCGGTCGCAGGAAAAACTTGAGTTGATTCAATTCCTTCTTTCTTGATCTTGAAATGGCAGGCTACTATAGATCTTCAGGTGGTGCTGCAATTTCTCAGGCGTGTCTAATCTAGTAAAATGGTGTGACGTTTACTCGAGCGTTTACACCGCTGAGAGGTCCAGAAAAAGTCATGGATCTTGGATCTCGGAAGATGGGGAAAGCTCCATTATGTGCTTTGCAACTTGAGCAATGAGCATCGAATCTCCCCAGAGGGAAAGGGAAGTGCTCCTTGAATCCACAAAAATTTCAGGCCTCTCCAGGCTAATGAGGTGATCTTTCTGCTGCTGATCTGTAGCCTAGAATAGCCCTCATTTGGAGCCAGAGTATTCTTCCACCCCTCTAGCTTTTGAGGCCAGCAGCCTGCTTAGCAACCCACCTTCCATTATTCTGCTAAGAGGGTCTTGCCTGTCACTTCTCACCCAAGAGCTGTAGTCTGGTCACCTCTTCCTCCAAGTAGGTGGCAACTGCCCATGTACACACTCAGGATCTGGTCCTGGGATTCCAGTCTAGAATATCTATCCCTGGGATAGCTCAGTCAGTACAACATGAGACTCTTGTGGGTTGTGGGTTTGAGTCCCACATTGGGCAAAATATTCCTGTATTGCGGGGGGTTGGACTAGATGACTCTCGCGGTCCCTTCCAACTCTACAATTATATGATTAAAAGTAGCCAAGATCACTGCCCTCCCCCCATCACCCATTCATTTGGGAAACCACTTTGCAACCAGACCCCAAACCCCTGCCAACAGCTTAACCCCACTGCTACAAGCTCACTCCCCAAGTATTTGCAATTTTAAATTCCTAAATTCCCGATTAACACCAGGACGCCGATAACTTTTCCTCAATCGGTACAATCACGCAGAAAATCTCTAGAGGCTCAAAATTTCTCTTTATATATATATTTTTAATTAGCATTCCCCATCCCCTCTGGTTACAGAAACTGCCAGGCAGAGCACAGCCCTGATAGGAGCAAACTCAGGGCGCGGTAGTGAAGATGCAAGACTGAAATGGGAGAGGATTTTTTTTTCCTGTTCAGTATTTGAGGCCTCTTACCCCTTAAAAAAAAATGGGGTTGGGGAAGAGAGAGAGAAAGGGGGGAAAATGGTATATGGGAGGGAGATAAGTGGGGGAACCACCAAAAGAAAAAGAGGTATTTTATTTTAGCCACAACCACCTCAAAGAAAGCCCAGAGCGAGGGAGGGGAACGGGAGGAAGAAGTGCGATTAGGCATAATGGAAGGAGGTTTAAAGGATGGGAGAGAAGAAGGAAAGAAAGAAAGACCCTCCCCTTCCCTGGGACAAAAAGGCTCTTTAACATAAAATCAACAACAAACAACAACAAAAAGTGCAGGTCCCTTCAGGAGCACATGCCCCCTGGTGGCAGCAGGTGGAGGCACGCCTTACATGCTGCCATAGACGCTCTCGTCGCTGTAGGCAATGTACAGGAAGAAGTCCTCCTCGTGATGTTCCTGGAAAGGGGGGCGGGAGAGAAAACACCGGAGTCAAGGCGTACTTCGGGCAGGGGTACAAGCAGGCAGAGCCAAGGGACAAGGGTGCCAAGGTTTAAATCTTAAGCCTTTCTGCCCGTTCAGAGTACACCAGCCAGAGCCCTCTAATTTGCAGAGTCCTCCTCCTGGTACTCTTTCAGCAGTTACAGTGGTGCCCCGCAAGATGAATGCCTCGCAAGACGGAAAACCCGCTAGACGAAAGGGTTTTCCGTTTTTGAGCTGCTTCGCAAGACGATTTTCCCTATAGGCTTGCTTCGC